AAAAAAAAGACAATAATTATTGAGGTTCCCAATTTTCCCCTTTTGAATGAAAAGTTTCAAATTTAATTCAGTGTTGAGCATTTATTCACAAGCAAAGCCTTGGAAGAAACTTCAAAGGGTTTTGGAAACGCAGCTTTCAAAATAAATTTTGAATAGTGGCAGCTGCCACCTTGAAAATTAAAGGGCAGGCACCGTAGGACAGATAAGGAGTCTCAGCGGACCAGATCTGGCCCATGTATGTTGGACAGCACTGCGTCTAGTCAATTACTTTGCGTCAGTAACAGACAATTCCATTAATTTCACGCTGCCCGAGGATATAATTTCTTATGACAAGCGATTCAGGCGACACCTGCCGGGCATTCCAGAAATGATGGTTGTCATTCACTTACCTTTCAAGAAGATTTTGTAAAATCTCGGCACAACTGCTGAGTAACCTTTCATGGACTCACAGCTTTCCGGAAACTTGATCACAGTGTTATCCAACACACGAATTTGAGGGTTTATCACTGCCTGAAAATATTTTCAAAATTTATCAACACACGATTTGTAAAATGAGGATGGATGGAAGTCTTTCATGTTTTGTCTTTCAAAATTGCATGGCCATCTCAGATTGCAGAAAGATAAAAACGTTGCATCGGGTTTCAATTTGCTTCTTCTGTCCATCAATGCAATACAAATTAATTTTAATGCCCAGGAAAAATCCCTCAGAAATTCTCAAATCATAATTAATAATTGCGAATGAATATCCAATTAGAATAAATCCCCCCCTTGACAGACGTTCACAACCATGTTAAAAAATTTCTTCGTGCCTATTATCCAAAATTGCAAATATTCTTCTCACACACTAAATAAAATGAATGGTCAGATCAACCTCTTCTTCAAACTAGACTAACTACATTTAAAACCTTGTTCTTTGCACAAAATTCTCTTGAACTGAAAAATCTGTTTGATCCAAGGACGCAGAAATCACCAAAATTGCAATTGAATGAACGCCATAGACATTGACTCACAGTGAAAGGAATAGTCGCCATTTCCCTGACCTTCCACTCATCTTTTGGAACCCGTTTTTGTGCATCTGATGACAATTCCATCACAAATGCAGCTAATGGAACGCCAATCTGAGGTGCAGCTAAACCAATGGCTCCATTTTTCTTCATAACTTTCCGCAAACTTTCAATCAACTGCAATGAAGTAAGGTGTTGAGATGAAATAATTCAACTCCTAAAATGCTATTGGGAGGACATCTTGGTAATCGAAACGAATAAATGGCAAAACCGCACTAAGGACTGTTGTTGAGAATTTCAAGAGCCTTTTGCTCCCTTGAACAATTTCTACCAATTCTGCTAAAAAAAAAAAAAAATTCTGGTAAAACTTAATGCAGATCAATTATATGAAGGGAAGAGAACAGAAGCTAACTTGAGGCTCAGTTGAACAAAAAATTGTACAGTAAAATTTATTACAACAAAGCTGTTTGGACCTTGAAGAAGCTTCGTTATAAAATGTTTTGAATGGCATTATTACTATGGAAAAATAACTTCGTTGTAATCAATAATATTTAATAATGAAATTGATTGTCACAAGATTTTACTACATTATGCTACAGTATTATATAAGCTGCACCAGAAGTAAAAATTAGCTGGTCTCTAATAGAATCAGGTCTCCATTTAATGCTAGGAGGAAAAACATTTTTTTATTTAACAAAAACTGGAACTATATGTATACACAGCAAAGACATTCATTAATTAAAAAAAAGAAATTAGGTGATTGCACCAATCCAACTTCAAATGGTACTTCCCTGTTATCTCTGTACCTTCCCTCTGACCAATTTAACCTGACCTAACCAAACTTCACCTAACTGCCCAAAATCAGTTTCTGCTTTCTTCGGGTTTCTGCTGAATCTGATTTTGGGAGGCGGTTAGGTAAAGTTAGGTTATGTCAGGTTATGTTAGTCAAAAGATATTTGTAACTAACATAACCTGACCTAACCTAGCTTTACCTAACTGCCTCCCAAAATCA